GTAAAAAGAGAGGAGTGGTGTTATACATTAGAGATACAATCCCTGCAGAACAAATATATACAGATGATGATGGAAGGATTTTGATGGTGGAGATAATGGACAATAATCTAAAGACACTTTTATGCCCCAAATGATAATCTAGAAGATTTTTACATGAAATTACATAAGAAAATAATTGAACTGGACTATGCAAATATCTGTCTGATGGGAGATTTTAATGGAATAATAAATGACAAATTGGACTATAAAACACAAAAAACAGCAAATTAGAAAGACATTGCCAAAATCCTTTTTTCGAACGGTAGATGAGATAAGCTTAAAAGATGCATGGAGTGAGAGAAATGCAGAAAATGAACAATATATCTTTTATTCAAATAGACATGCATCATGGTCTAGAATAGATATGATATGGATGTCAACAGAATTGCTTTCTAACATACAAGACATTGAAATAGAAGCAAGTACCTGGGCAGATCACAATCCAATAACACTTGTATGGAAAGGACAAAACAAGGAGATTGAGATGGACTTAAAATAATACGATATGAAAGGAAAAAGACTTTAAACAGAAAATTGAGAGAGAATTGACTTTTTTCTTTAAAGAAAATACAAAAGAGGATACATCATCACAGAACCTCTGGGACACGATGAAGGCTTATACAAGAGGTTTGATAATGGACTATACAAGGAAAAGAAATATAAAACAAAATTTTTTTAAAAAAAATATTGGAAGATGACTATAAGAAGTTGGAAAAAGAACTATAGAAATTTCCACAAAAAAGGGACATTAAAATTAAAATGGACATAATGGGGCAAATGGAAAAAAGAAGAAATAGCACAAAAAATTAGAAATGCTAAGCAGAATTATTTTGAAGATGCAAATAAACCAGGCAGATGCCTAGCATATAAATTGAGAAAGGAAAGAGACTCGAGAAGAATAAATCAATTGATAAACGAACAAGGACATGTGTGCTATGGAAATGCGGAGAAGAAAAAAATTATTCAAGATTACTATGGAAAACTGTACCATCAAGAGAATGTTCAGGAAGAAAGAATTCAACAATACTTACAGGAAGCAAATTTGCCCCAGGTACCCAAAGATATTGAAACTATGTTAGAAAGTAATATAACAATGATGGAATTAACAGAAGCTTTAAAAAAGCAAAACATTGGGAAAGCACCAGGTTCAGACGGTTTGTCAGTGGAATTTTATAAGACATTCCAGGAAACATTGAATCTTCACTTATTAGAAATTATGAATGAAGTTATGACGAAGAAGAGAATACCCAAAACATGGTCAGAAGTATATATAACATTTGTACTGAAGGAGGACACAGACCCACAGCAAGTTAAAATTACAGACCTATATCACTATTAAATTCAGATTATAAAATTTTTGCTTCAATTCTGGCAGAAAGACTGAAAAGATATTTAAATAATTGTATTCATCCTGATCAAAATGGATTTCTGCCAAAGAGACAGATTAAAGATAATATGAGAATAATTTTAGATACACTGGAATACTATGAGGCACATCCTGAAAAACAAATGGCTTTGATGTTTAGAGATGCACAAAAAGCCTTTGATAATGTGAATTGGCATTTTATGCTGTTACAGTTGGACCAAATGAGCTTTGGTAAAAAATTTACTCAAGCCATCGAAACAATATATCATAAACAAACTGCAAAGGTTATGATATATGGAAAATTAACAGATTTTATAGATATAAGAAAAGGGCCTAGACAAGGCTGTCCACTGTCGCCTCTGTTGTTTATGTTAACACTGGAAGTGCTGAATAGGAACATCAGAGAAGAAGAAGAAATAAAAGGAATGAAAATTAAAAAAGAAGAGTATAAATTACAAGCTTTTGCAGATGACCTGGTATTTATACTAGAGGATCCATTGGAGTCTGCCCCTAAACTGATAGAAAAGATAGAAGAGTATGGGAAAGTAGCAGGTTTGAAAATAAATAAAGATAAAACAAAGATTTTAGCAAAGAACATGTTAGTAAGACGAAAGAAAGAATTGGAGGAAGTTTGGGGGATCCAGGTCACAAACAAGGTTAAGTATTTAGGGATACATATAACACCAAGATGTAGCACACTTAAGGAGGACAATTATCTCAAACTTAAACAACAGATTGCAACAGATTTGATAAAATGGGAAAATTTACAATTATCACTGATTGGGAGAATATCTACAATCAAGATGAATGCATTGCCCAGAATCTTATACTTATTCCAGACAATTGCAATCAGATTAGGGAAATAATTTTTTGAAGATTTAAACAAAATAGTGCTAAAATACATTTGGCAGGGGAAGAACCCGAGAATAAAACTTAAATTGTTAGAAGATGCAAGAATAAGAGGAGGATTTGCTTTGCCCAATTGGGAATTATACTACCAAGTGATGAGTCTGATGTGGGTAACATTAAGGAATACTAAACTTTTGAATTTAGAAGGACATGACTTGCTGTTAGGGTGCCACGCCTTCCTCTGGTATAAGGGAACTAAAACGCAGGGGTATTTTAGAAGACATTATATTCGAGAAGCAATGTTTTTAAATTGGGAGATAAAAAAGCAATATTATTTAAAAATTCCACTATGGTTATCTACTATTGAAGCTTTTTCCTATCCAATAATATATAAAAAGGAACAAACAGTTAGATATGGTGAGATATTGAATGAAAAGGGTGAACTTAAATCTATGCAAGTGTTGGAAGAACAAGGTGTAAAAATGAATTGGTTTTCATATTTGCAAATATAATCTAGATTTGATAAAGATGTTAAAACAGAAGGTGTCTATGACAAATTTAGATAAAATTTTGACAGGTACTGATGAAAAAGTAATTAAAAAACTTTATGGAGATTTGCTAGAGTTTAAATTAGAGGAAGAACAAGTAAAAGAAACAATGATTGCGTGGGGGAAAAATTTCAGATATGGGATTGACTTAGATAAATGGCAAAAATTGTGGTCTCAAAATTATAAAATGACAATGTCAACTGCGTATAAAGAAAATTTGTATGTTTTACAGATGGCATTTACCCCCAACGAGCATTGCCAGGATGTTCAAGGATAAATCGGATAAATGTTGGAAATGTCTTCAGATACCTGGTTCATATTACCACATGTGGCGGACATGCTCAGATGCAAAAAGATATTGGACTATAATCCACACGTGGTTGGAAAAAATGACAAAACAACACATACTTTAAACCTGAGATATTTTTATTGGGAATTATACCGGAAATATATTGTAAAGAATTGAAATATTTGATTGTAAATGTTTTAACAGCAGCTAGAGTTGTATTTGCTAAGAACTGGAAAAATGAAAAAAATACCTATGCAGGAGGAAATTATTAAGAAAATCATGGACTGTGCCGAAATGAGTGAATTGACATTTGAAATTGGAGAACAAGAGGATAAACAATTTTATATGATATGGGATTTATTTTATAATAAGGATGAGGTTAGATAAAAAGACGTGGTAAAGAAATAGACTAGTAAGCCTTACAATAAAAGTTAATCGATTGATATAGAATACAGTATAAAATATATAATCATTGGATGAATGTATAAGATTAAATCATAATGAAAATTAGAATATTTCATATAAAATGATGGAAAAATAGTCAAATGAATCTTTAATAATTGATATTATATAAGTACAAGCTAGATCGATAAGGTGAAAATTTATATAACTTGTGAGTAATGGTAAAAAAAGGATAACACAAAAGATTGTAACCAACTGACACACTGTATGTATATAATTGAAAGATGGTTTTATGTTTTTATGTTTTGTTTGTACGTTTGTTGTAAAAAATAAAAACTTTGTTTTTTTTTAAAAAAAAACTGTCATCTTTTATTTTCATGTAAATGATTCCATTTCTTTCAAACTGTCTCCAGCATATGTAAAATTAGGGTAAAATCTAAGTTCATGTATAAGTCTTGTCAAAAAAAAAAAAAAAAACAGAAGATGCTTCTTCCTCATCTTTTTTCTCTTTCTGTTTTATTATTCACTAGTTCTTTCTCATTTTCCACTTTTTAAATATTTGTATCATTTTCATCTTTTAAAAAATTTCTTCAATAATAATTATATTATTATTTTTTAAATCAAATGCTGTTCTATGTCAGAGTGAGCAAAATGAAAGATTAGGGAACTGGTGCAACCACTGAGTAAGGCGCACACCGGAGGAAACTCCTCATGGTTTTCTTCAGTCTTTGCAATATTTGAGTTTCAGTGGGATTTATCCACTATCTCTATTCTTTGACTGCCCGTCTTTTCTCAACCCCACTGGGATGGCACCATCACCACCAGGGTGTCCATAGGCCTTCATCACTGATGCAGCAGTGTTAAACTAAGTATCCTGGAGCCGCGCGTAGTAAATAGAAGCACATACATGTAGCATGGTGATTTTGCTCTGGCTAGACAACCCACAATTCAGGCAGAAGAAATGGATGACTCTTCCCCATTCAACATGCTGTTGCCTGACTGTCCTGAATGTAAATTTCCACTGTATTTTGTATCTGTATCTGTATGGGAAACAGACTCTATGTGGGTGAGTGGATGTTTATCAAAACAAAAGCAGGAGGAATGTTGGAACACCAGGATTTACATCTCCCTTTTTACTTCTTAATTTTAATAGTCAGGTTCACATCCCTGTTTCAACAACAGCAACAAAAAATACTATTGAGACATTTTGGGGGAGAGAGGGAAGGATTTTCATTAGCAATAGCAGTAGCACTTACTTATCTAGTGCTTCACGGTGCTTTTACAGCCCTCTCTGAGCGGTTTAGAGAGTCAGCCTATTGCTCCCAACAATTGTGAGTCCTCATTTTAACCACCTCGGAAGGATGGAAGGCTGAGTCAATCTTGAGGCTGGTCATATTTGAACTGCCCAATTACAGGCAGCTGGCAGGCAGCAGAAGTAGCTGGCAGTACTGCACTCTTACCACTGCGCCACCGTGGCTCATTTTCATTAGTGTTCTTATTCACTTACTTTGTCCTTATTTGAATTGAGGATGCTCTTCAGGGAGCCTGGAGAAGAATTACATCTGCGCTGTAAGAATGGATTGAAAAGAAGAGGTGTTCAATCCCAGAAGGTGAAAGGAAGCAACCCAAACAAACAAGCGGCTTTAGATGTTAGCATACCCTGGCCAAAGGCTCTTGCAAGACTTCATCAATAGCAGCACAAAGTTCTTCTGTTTGTTGCCTGAGTTGGGCAGGTGAGCACATCTATGGGATTTTAAAGAGAGAAAATGATTTTCTCTGATTCTCAACCTTAGAGAATAAACATCTTGTTAGCACCACTTCTTTCTCATGGGGCCTGCTGCAGCAGGTGATCCTTGACCTCTAACCTCAGCGGAGCCTCCAATTTTCACTGCTAAGCTAGATAGTTGTGAAGTGGAGTTTTACGACCATTTTAGGACCTTTCGGGCCGCAGTTATTAAGTGAACCCACCGCATTGGTGACCTTAGTAACACGGTTGTTCAACAAGTTGGGCTTCCCCACTGACTTTGCTTGCGAGAAGGTAAACAAAAGGGACTCCGTGCAACCGTCATAAATGTGAGCCGGTTGCTGAGCATCCTGGTTTTGATCACATGGGGATGCTGCAATGGTCGTAAGTGTGGAAAAAATGGTCAAGATTCAGGTTTTTTTCCCCCCCCCCAGTGTTGTTATAACTTCGAATGGTCATTAAACAAATGATTGTAAGTCAAGGAATCTACCTGTGCTGAGATGAGTTCCACTTTGTGGAGCTGTTCGATCTGTGCTGCACGACTTTGGATGACCACTAGATGGCGCCTAGAATTTTGGTATCTCTGTTGCTTTCTGCTTTAGTGGTCATCAGTTTTGCAACCCAAACTGAACGCTCCTGCTACTTGGGAAATCTCCTTGGTGTTCTTCTCTTGATGGTGCCCTTTCTCAAAACATAAAGGCTGGGTAGTGCTGTGCAGAACTTGGAAAGCTGAAGTCCCTTATTTCATTTTTCCCCCCAGCTAAACACTTTCCACCAAGAAAAAAAATGAAAGCCACAGAGGTGGTTTTTCATCCTGTTAAGTATTTGGTAGTTCGCACAGTGCATTGCTCCACCGTGGACCCCATGTCACTCAGACCATTGCTCCATTCCAGATTTCAAATTAGCTGCCTTGAATCAAATCCATTTTAGCAGCACCCTTGAGCCAACAGATGGCCGAATTGATGTGCAACAAGAGATTTTATTTAGACCGTCGCAGAGGGACTCAACCACCACAATGGTTTTGGCATGTTGCATTTGCTAATTGATAAGGTACTTGCAATCTTGCACACATGCAGCCAGCATCTGCAAAGGCATCTTATCTGCCATCCTCCCCACTCTAGCTCACCCCAGTTTAAACCCTACATCGTTTTAGCACATCCATGCAGTTGATGAAAACAGCTGGAGCTCACTAAAGCTTATGCTTTTTAATAAAATGTATCCATTGGAAAAGCTGGGATCGATTAAACTTGAGTTTGGACTTCATCCTCCTGGTCGTCCTCTTCCTCCTGCTCCTGCTCCTCCTCCCCAACCAGCTTATTCACTATGTGTTTCTAAAGTGGTGTAGCACTTTCACTTCAAAGCCCAGATGGTGCTTCAGTGCTCAAATGAGCTCACCCTGAAACCAAATGAGTCCTATAGGATTTGGCTGGATAAGAGTTGAGGGGAGGAGGCTTTTTTCCCCCCTAGGATTGTGTAGTTGCTTTAAATAGTTGCACAAGTTGCTCTGAAAATACTAATCCATTCTCTGAAGCAGTTTTTTCACTTTCAGATGCAAAGCATTGCACAGCCCAGGGTGTGTCACCTCCACGACATCCGTAGCAGGGTGCAGGCTGAGGCAATTATTTCCCTATTCAATTCTGAGTATGGAAATTTGATAAGAAAGCAATACAGCCAAAACAAAAACAGAAGAATCAATTAAACATGGAGAAATTAATTGTCACCTCTGAATGGGTATCCAGAGTTCTGTCCTCAACTTCCAGTTCTGCTTTGGTTTGTTCATCGAGTGCCTGTGGATGAATTCGTATTATTCTGACATTAAGACAAGAATAACAATAATAATGCACTTATATAACACCTGGTAAAGTAATTTACATCATATCCTAGCTGACTTTCATCGATAATCAGCTATCTAAGCATTATAAACATACAATTAAAATAAGCTCTCGTCCGACTTATTTTGTTGGTTAAACATCTGATTTTTGAACACATACATATTTATGGGAACCGAGGCACCTCCACAGCAGTGGTGTTTTTAAATTGTACACCTTAAAGCATCCAATCTGCACGTGATAATGTGTTCTGCGCCATCTGAAGTTTCCAAGTGCTTTTCAAGGACACTTCCATGTAAAGCATATTGTGATTGTTCAAAGGAGAGATGTCTAAGAAATAGGTAACCATGAAGAGTACCTCCTGTTCTCTAAACAGGCCCAACCAGTGCACAAAATGGAATTGTGCCCAGGATCTCCTGCAGCAGTGAGATCCTATCTATTCCACTACCAGTTCAGTGATCATGTGCACGTGCGTGAACACCTAACGCTCATGCACCTAACACACACACACAACATTCCCCACACCAGTTGAGGCCTGCAGCACCAATCAGCTGAGAGGATAAAGAAGAGAAAAGCACAGGGTCGGGTGGGAGGGCCAAACCTGCCTTTTCTCTTCTTCCTCCACTCAGCTGATCGTCTGAGGCTTTTTTTTACTACCAGTTCAGCCGAAACGGCCCAAACTGGTAGCATACTACCATTGGTCTCCTGGCCATGGCTACCACCTCTTCCTCAAGCAGTGCACCACTTTGAACAATGTGACAAGCCCACCCCAAATCCAGGGTCATTAAAATGCGCCATTTCTAAAACCTACAGCAACTTATGATTGTACAATGACAACATTAGAGAACTCTGGAACCGCCTAATATTGCTGTTGTCTAAGGAACACTCAACGAATACCACGCTGGAAATCAAATTCCTAATCCCTTTGGACACTACTTGTCACATGATGGATTTACAAGCTTATTGAACTATGATTTATGCTCAATGTAATAAGCCATCAATTATGACTTGCAAATTTGTTGGTTCCATGCATACTACAATATTAATGAACTAGTACATTTTAGCCAAGCACAACGGCAATGGCATACAATAAGTCAAATGATGGTATCCTCTAGTACCGCCTAAAACATCACTACGTTTTTCATAATGGGTGATTTGCAGGTCAGCTTCGCCAGTGCACTATTATGGCTTCTTGGCTGCTAAGTATGCATCTGATTTTACAGTTGCAACCAAATTAAGAGCTTTATTTATATGGGACTGTTGAGCTGCGTTTTGCTTGCCAGCTTACCCGTTTGAAGGCTTGATTTGGTATGGTATCAATCAGCCTACAATCTGAACTTTGAAAAAGTTGAGGCCACATAGGGGTCTATCTCTATCCTCAGAGTCACTTGTATTCCTCCCCTCCAGTCAGCTAGAACTGAAAAAGCTTCCTTCGACTGATTTGGACCGGTTGGGGTGAACTGGTAGTTCCAGTGAGCATTTGGCCCCTCCCACCTGCCCCTGCTCTTTCCTGTGCTTTATTTCCTGGTTTTTTAGCACAGCTGATTCACGTGGCAGAGTGGTTTTGCCACGCCTCAGCTGTTTTACTCACCGGGGCTGCAGTAGAATGTAAGTATTATAGCTGAAAATGGGTTTTTGTAAAATGGTGTGTATGTGTGCAAAGCGCGTGATCACCAAACTGGTTGTTACACCAGTTGAATCGCACCACTGGTTGTGCCTGAATAGAACTCGGCAATTTGCTTTTCTGCTGCCTCAAAGGTCAGCCAACAATTTTAACACAGTTTATGCCCTTAACTTCAAAATTAAAATTAATACCGGCCCATACCTTTGAGCACCCAACTAACCTTCTGTTCTAGAAGCAGTGTGTTTGTTGGGATGGCTGCAAATGTCTTGTAGCTTGCATTGATCTTGTATGACTGTAAATCATAATTGGAAAGAGGAAAGAGGTGATAATATTCAAACTAATTCCTTTAAGACTTCAATATGAATGCTGTCTTAGTATAAGGAAGAAAAAAGATATACAATAAAATGATTTTCTGCCTTTTTAAAGTATTGCATATCCCACCTTAATACCATAATTTTTACCGTATAGGGTTCCCATTATAATTTATTGCAGAGGCTGGATATCTATTCATATATTTTAGTCAACACAGATAATTTTTTCTTTCTGTCCCCAGAGGTGATATATTCAGTTACAAGCTCACTGAGACCCTTGTGAAAAGAAATGGATGGCCACCTTTATGGGGTAATTTTTCTTACACTATCTTAATGTGAATCTCAAGTTTGTTAACCAGGTGAAAGTACAATATCCAAACTGAGAAGAAAAGGGTATTCAGTGATGAAGGAAAAACTTTTTTTTGCCTTGTCATTCGCTCTTCTGCACTTCCGTTTATTAGGCAGTACAAAACATTAATTAACCAAAATATCTCAGAAGCTGCTTGGAATAATTTCACCTTTAATGTCATTCAGCCTTCAGAAACAGTGGGAAATTTTTGACCTTCCTTTAATAAGCTGCTATGCTCTTTTAAACAACTCATAGGGTGTTCTGCAATGCTATTATTATAACAAATTGCATAAATATGTTCCTGTTGTCCCCACTTTCTTAACTTAGGGCCTCACTTCCTTTCCAAATTTTTTCTGGCATATTGTAAAGCATTGAAATGTAAATTTAATTTCTCTTAAATCATCACAATTCTTGTCCTCGCTTTCCTTGCTGTCCCCCAATTTGCATTCCCAACATGATGAGAAGTTTAATTATCAAAACCAAATGTTAGTAACTCTTACGAGACAAAGTGGATTTGGCAGCTCACTGATCTCCCTTGTACAGTCATTTGTCAGTATTAAAACCAGCACTAAACATTATTTGTTTTATTTTATTCTTCCCTGCTTACATTTCATCCTCTCCCCTGAATAAGAATTTTGACTCTGTGGGGTCCCTTTCGATTGAGTTGGAAAGCTGGAATTTAATCAGAAATTCTGCGTGTACATGCCCAGCTGCAAATATAATGGGAAAGCTTCAGTCTTTGCCTAGCTCCTGCCCACCTAGCAGTTTGAAAACATGTAAATGCAGGTAGATTAATAGGTACCATTTCAGTGCAGAGGAAGCATCTGTCTGCAATATTCCTGGTGGCCACATGACCATGGAAACATCTTCAGACAGCACTGGCTTAATAGCCCTTGAAATGGAGATAAGCACAGCGCCCTATAGTTAGGGTATGGTTAGAGTAAAATCCGCAGCAACTCCTTTCCTTTTTTCCTTCTGCATGTGCAGTATTTCAGATAGTAGAACTCTACCATTGACATGCCACATATGTCTCTTGTCTACTGTCACAGAAGAGCTGCGATATTACTCATAGACAAGAGTCAATGTGCACCAAGAGGCAGTATCATTATTACCACTCTCCCGAATCAGGATGCTTCACTGTTCTGATGACAATGAGTTAGGTATGGAGCTGGAAAAGGTTAGATCGTACTGTGGATCCCATCAGCCAAGGAATTTCAGCTGGTAGTATAGCCATGGACCCTGCCCTTTGGACCCTGCCCTTTGGAAGACCTTGCCACAGGGGGTGAGACCTGCACCCTCTCTTTTAGCCTTCAGGAAAAGTTTTTAGACTTGGCTATGCTGGTTGGCTTGGACTCCTGAAGGGGAAGCTGTTGGATGGAGATGGTTGGTATAGTAATAGAGAAGTCACCACATTTTTCTGCTCCAAGCCCAAGGTTTTTAATCAGTTAGTTTGGGGTTTTTTTGTATAATTTTAACCTATTTTACATTTATAATTGTTTGTATATTTGCATATTTTATCACATTATGAGCTGCTCAGAGTAGCCTCAACCACAAAATGGATGACAAATAAATTTAATAATAATGGGTGGAATCCCAGAATAATGCTACTTGAATGCCATTGGCACTGACAAATTCACCATCGGTCAATTGCAAAAGGCAGCTTCACTCGAAACTGCTTACATCCTCGGTGATATCTTTAAGACCATCAAACATCCACAATTGCCTACCCTGGGTCCTTGAGAAGGACTTAATAGATGAACCCAAGTGCCAAATGGATGACCATGTGACAAACATAAAGATAATTATTCATGGTTGTTCAAGCCTGTTGTGGATCTAAGACACTTTTGGGTTGCACCACCAGTCATTCTTCAGATTTACGCTGGATCTAGGCATGCAATTCAGCCTGCGACTTATTTTGCAAACATCCAGATCACAGCAGATCGGGAGAGGCAGAAAAGGAGCAAGCAAGAAATGTGTCAACCAGACATTTTCCCCACAAGTACTGTAACATTAATTGCCTCAAGCTAAACCGTATTTATTTTTGTAAGAAAGAAATCTGAGATTTGATGCAGACGCTGGAAAAGTAACAGGAAGCTCTACCTTTAGGGCTCATTTTTTTAAAGACCTATGATAGGAGTCCTTCACAAAAAGGCTCTCCTTTAAACTGTCTATCTTGTGAGTAGTCTTGAGAGTTTAAACTAACTGGTGGGGGGTTTTAATTACTAAAAGAGGACTCAGAGCTCATTAAAAAAAATATCTGTGGCTATGTATGTGTGAAGAGATCAGAATGCTGTTTCCTGGTGTCAATATAAATGAAATCACTACATAGGATAAGCACTATGTAAAAATTACCCACCTCAGGGAAAGGGAGTGGAAAACATATAAAACTTCACTAAGGGACAACGTATAGCATGTTCTCTACATATAGCATATGTAGCATTGTATTTCTCTAACTTCAGAGCTGAATGAAAAGAATAGAATAGTCCCCTTACTCTGTGTGTGTGTGTGTGTGTGCGTGTGTGTGTGTGTTTAAGGGGTGCTATCAACCTGCACTGATATGGCCTGCAGACCCACATAAACTGAGGAAAGTTTCAAACAAGGACCTTCCCTGCAACCACAGAGGAACCTGTTGTCAACTGGAGCAATGTTATTACAACTGAAAGTTATAATTTTAATTATCCTCCATGCTGTCCACAACCCTTGACAGTCCGCAGGGTTGTTGAGCATCCTTATCAATGAGAGCTTTAACCATCTGCAAAACAGATACTGGGATGGAATAGCAATCAATGTCAAATCACTACATAGCAGTAAAGTGATTTCTGAAATTGCTTTTGAGAGAGAGTGAGAGAGAGACCTGTATGCTGAAATATCCTAAATGGGGAGATGGGTTGTTTGGATGGATGAAAAAGACATTTCTTTCTGCAAATTTGGCTCAAAAAGAATATAAAAAACATCCTGTACGGATGGGGGTAAATGCAAAAATAGGCTGTAATTATTAGCAGTCTTCATACATGTGATTTATTACAAACTAGCATACGCTATGATTTACATGAAGAACTGATTTTATATGTAAATATTTGTAACCAGTAACAGAACTGCTGCCTGTTATCCTGAAGTTAATTTTAAGCATTTTCACGGATCAAAGTGAATTCTTACCAGCAGCAGGTTTTGATTAAGAGGATCTTCAAACCAGCCCCCTCTTGCCACACATTTGCTCCATGAGGTAACAATTAACAAGACCCCTTTCAGATAATGAGGGTGCAACACACTTAAATAAATTAAACCAGTACAACCTCCTCAGTTCTTTCTTTTACTCATGAACCCAGATTGAATTGTCAGACTCTCATGAATAAAATGTTAGAGAAATACTCTTTGCATAGAGGCACTCCTCAACTTATGACCACAAATGAGCCCAGAATTTATGTTGCTCAATGAGAAATTTGTTAAATCAGTTTTGCCCCATTTTATGGCTTTTCTTGCCACATTTGTTAAGCGAATCACTGCAGTTCTTAAATTAGTGACACAATTGTTAAGTGAACCTGGTTTCCCCATTGACTTTGCTTCTCAGAAGGCCGCAAACGGGGATTGCTTGAGCCTGGGACACAGTGGCGGTCATAAATATGAGTCAGTTGTCAATTGACATTTTATATTTTTACATCTGAATGGAAATCACGTGACCATGGGGATGGTGCAACAGTCATAAGTGTGAAGAATAGCCATAAGTCGCTTTTTTCAGGGCCATTATAACTTGGAACGGTCACTTAATGAACTGTTGTAAGTTGAGGACTACCTGTAACTCACCTGTTTGTGAAGTGTAATAATTCTGAAACTTTACAAACATGCTAAAAGATACTATAACAGGCTGCAAACATATACAAAGAGTTAATTTGGAAATTTGGAAAATCAGATGTGGAATTTAAGCTTTACAAATACAGAGAACCATGCATATCCAGATTGACGTAAATTTCCTTAGCATATTTGATTTTATCCCGTACACAAACACACTGAAATACGATGAAATCATTTCGGTTACATGCTTATAGTATCCATGGAACCCATGTGCTTGAGAAATGTTTCACTCTCACATTTCTAATGTTTTGTCAGATGTGAAACCTTACAAACACAATTATGTCTATATTTACAATTTTCTTTTCCCTGGGGTGCCATTTTCCTGGGACAGACATGGAAAAAAGTTTAGAGGAATAGAAAGAAGCAATCATAGATAGAATACCTGAGGAGTCTTATTCTCACAATCAGAAGGCAAGGAAAAGGACAGCGGTGAGCTAGTCTGCCTTGATCTTGAAAACTGTGGGCAAGGAGAATGCTTTCTGGCCAGGGATCCACATGGTGTTATTGCTGGTGGGGACTTGTGTCTTGAGCAGGGCGAACAAATTCTGAAGTTTGAATGAAGAGGGGATGATGCGCTTGTCCGAAGCAAAGGGGAGTTCATGTTACAGCTTGGTGGAATAGATGATGGCGAGTCTTGGTGATAAAAAGGCCATTGAGTTGACAAATTTGTACCTTGGTCCTTTGCAGAGACATGTCGCAAGTGTTCCTTAGGCTGATTACTAGAATGCCCAGGAGCTGGAGAGTAAGACAGTTTTTGTGCTGTGGGAGAGAGTGTGGGCCTTTGATTGACTGCAAAGGTTGGTGCTGGATGGGACTTGGCAGCAAACGTGGGAGAGGAGGTGCGAACTTTTGTAGACTTCCCTGGCTCTCGTGTTTTGAGGACCGATTGCCTCGAAACATGGGGAGGTGAGGAAAAACTGGTCAGTTTGGGTTTCAACAGTGGAGAGACGACCGTTTTCCTGTAGGAGCAAATTATGGGCGACAAAGGACGCAGTTTGTCAGGGGAACGTGCTCCAGTATCGAGTGTCCTTTTAGGGGACAGAGACCAAGTTTGAAGGGTAGGACTGGACTTTGAGGAGACCATCCTGTTCCTTGGCGCATCAGAAAGCCCCGGAAAGTAACCTTCATCTTGGTATGGGGAATCGGACCTGAAGATAGAAAACTGTGAAGCAGCCTTCTTTGGAGTGAGAGGGATAGTTTTAAATTTCTGCTCAGTTGCCAGAGTTGAAGAATCAAAGGAATTGGGAGAAAAAGTGCCAGGACATGATGCGGGAGAAAATGGCCTTTTTGGAGAAGACCCCGACTTCAGAATAGCAGTCAAAAGAGAAAGTCTAGTTGGAAGAGGAGATTTAACTCTACACATTGGTGGGGTCCCACTGAAGGGCATTTGACTACAATGGCTGTTTACATTATGTACATTTGAGGAGGATCCGTGTAGAGAAGGTGGCAGTTGGGTGGGGCTCGGTGATAAGATGTGTGTTGTAATATGGATGGGAACCTGGGCCCAGGGGAACAGTTTCTTGGGAGGAAGAGGAGAATGGGCCTGAGGGGATGAGCCCTGAAAAGCATCTGTTGACGAGACAACCTGTGAAGGAGGACAGGGATCCTTGCTTACTGGCAGTGACAAAGAGGTGGGTTCCTTTTTGGGTTTGTAAGTTTGAACGTGGTGGGGTGACTGATCATGATCTACGAGGCTCTCGAATGAGGAAGGAAGTATTTTTGGTACAGAGGAAGGTAAACTGGAAGAAGTAGTAGACTGGAAATATGTGGAGGTCTGGTGGATGCAGGACCCATTGGCAGATCGCCACTGGCTATGAGATTCTTGCTGAGAGGAAGCCTGATGGCCTGGAACGGCCATTCCATGTTCTACTTTCAGATTAGTTGGAGAAAGTAAAGGAGCAGCAGGTGATTTATGGGAAAGATGATCAGAAGCAGACAGAGAAGAAGTTAACTGGAAGGGGAAAAGAAAAAGAAGAAAAGATTAGAATCAAATCTGTAATGTCTTGGGTTTTTTTTAACTGGGAGCATGCCTCTCTTAATTTCCAGTATTAAATAGCAGAGTGAGATAAGAAAGGTCTGGTATTTAATTTTCAGCTATTCACATCCATTTTTATTGGCATAAAAGAAATTTCCCATAGCTGTTCCACAATTGTGTCCTAACTTTGCAAAAAGACTTTACAATGAAAGCAACTCTTCTGTCGATGGTCCTTCAAATTGGCCAAATAGCTGAAATCAACGGCACACGCAGCTTCTTGTGCATACATGCCAAGGAAATTGATCAGCAAATGGGCATGTTCCTTACTCTTTCCTTACTCTTTCCTTCCTTTGGCTATTTTTTTTTAAAAAAAACTTCTTTCAGTGAAATCAGATGTTCCACGGAGGTTTCTCAAGAGTTTTCTATCAGACCTATCTAAATGTTTTTAAATACTAATTACTGCCCAGAAATGCCCATTATGGAAAAATAATTTACATGGGATAATCCACATGCATTGCCATTTCTCTGGGCAATAGGAAACTAGAAAAGATCCCTCTAGGACAAAGGTCTTCAAACTTGGAACTTTAAGACTTGTGGACTTCAACTCCCAGAATCCCTGAGTTAACATGACTGGAGGAAGAATTCTGGGAGTTGAGGTCCACAAGTCTTAAAGCTGTCAAGTTTGAAGATCCCTGCTCTAGGACTTCATTTGTAATAATTTGACCATCTTGATATTGGTTGTGGCCCAGAATACAACATTCAGATACAACATTCCTTCAGCCACCATGTGGTCTACAGGTAACAGTAGCTATCAGACCAACAACCAAACACTATCTCAATCAAGAAACTGCCAAACAAGCTAACAGTAAACAGCCCAGCCAAAGAACCTCCAAGACCATTCCCTCCAACATTGATAGGACGGGTCACTAGAATATAAATTGCGACCAAATCTTACTTCTAACTAGCACTGATGATATTCCCTAGTTTGGGTAATGGAACCTCTGCAAGAAAACAAGCTCATCAAGGACTCCTTATTTCAACCTACAAATATTCTTCTTTATTGGTATCATGCACCTCTCTCTCTCTCTCCCTCTCCTTCTTCCCCCCTGTGTTTGTGTGTGTGAACTACTAACAGATCAGACTGTTTCCTTTCCTGAAGTATGTAAATGAAAAAATATTATGTATTGAATTTGCATAAGCTCCTATCTCAACTATGACCCAGGGCATTACCTGAGAGAGTTTTTGTGAAGTGGCTGAACTGCAGGGAAGATCAGTGTGTTGTGGCATCTGTGGCACATTCTCTTGTCCTTGGCACTCATCACCACTGGACACATGGAACGCAGCTAAACCCCCGGAACTTTCATGTCCGTAGTCGTTGCCTAAAATAGCCTCTGTATCTTCATCTGAGTCGGTGATGAGAACAAACTCAGCTTTGAAAAGATCCTCCCCATCCATTCTCCCTCCTTTTGTCTTGTCTTCTGGGAGTTTGAAAAGTTTGTGTTTGTTGGGGCAGCTGGCAGCTTCACCAGTTCCCTTGATTCTACTTCCTATGGCAGTTGACTTCTCCACTTCTTTTGTTTCAGCAATTACTTCATTCTGAAGGAAGGAAGGAAGGAAGGAAGGAAGGAAGGAAGGAAGGAAGGAAGGAAGGAAGGAAGGAAGGGGAGAGAGATGGCTCAGTATTATGTGCTTCTATACTTCTCTCTTTGCATGATGAATTAAAATTCCTAAAGAAAACATGACTAGGGCAAATAAATATCTGAGAAATAAAATATATACTGTGGGGAACTGAGTGAATTAGTTATTGAAGGAATATGCATTCGATTTTTATCACCTCTACCCTGTTCCACAAGGGCATTGTCTGACAGAGGAAAGGATCTGAAGATACAACCAGATTCTGGTCCCTTTTGTATGACACCAAAGACAAAATTGGAAGAAATAATTCATTCAATATCCAGGACAGTGCAGAAATCTGGAACAGCTGCAGCCAGGCAGAAGAGAACGTGGAGCATTTCAAAAACAAAGGGCAAGGGCAATGGCTGGGATTCCCATGATTACCAGAGGGATAAATTTGGAATAAAATCCCATAGGTATGAAAGAAAACAAAGTTTCAAACCAGAAGACAAAACAAAGAATTTGTAACTGTAAAGTTTTGCTTGTGGCTCAAGACTGTTTAGGTTAGGTTATATCTCAACCACATGTACCTTCTTGGAAACCTTGCAAGACAGACCTAGAATGAAAGATATATTTTGTTTAATTCTTCTGCCCATTGCTCTTGTTAAAGAATCTCTCCTGTTGCTTGGGGAGGTTGCATTTTAATAACATAAGAACAAAAATGGCAAGAGAATCACTCAGATTTCCAGGCAGATAGCAGTAGATTTCATCTTTATATAATGAAGGGATCTGTACTTTTCTTCCTCTTTAGCACCATCTCATCCCGGGAATAGTGTTAACCTGGAGGATGGAAGCTTGGAAAAGCTGTACCTTCTTCCTCAAAACTGGGTGTTTGGGGTTTGTCTGCCAATCACCTTTATCCTTGTTTAATTTTCTCTTTTAGCCAACAGCCCTTGAATCTGCCTGCTCTTTCCATAACTCAGTTCCCAGGCCTTCTGCTGGGCCATCCTGTATCTTAGCTAGCAGCTATGTTCTCTTCCTTCTCTTTTTTATTTTGCAATATAAAGAATCCAGCATACATTGGGGCTCTAGTAGAAGTATCGTGTTCCCACTGGACTGGACACCTTCACCCACAAATTTTATTAATCATTAAAATGGTCTAATGCAGTGGTCCCCAACCTTTTTTGTGCCAGGGTCCGGTACCGGCATCACACAATGATCCGCAGACCGGTACCGGCATCAGCACGCATGACAAGGCAAGGCGAGCCGAGCGACCGGCCAGCCAGCCGTCCCCTGCTTCTCCCCACCACCTTCAGCTCCTCCTTTGTACCTTTGGTGATGGGCTTCACTTCGGGACGTCTTCGGGACGGTTGCTCAGCTCGCCTTGCCTTGGGTGCTGAAAGAATCCTCGCACCTTAGTTTCATTCGAAGCCCCCCCCCACTTTGATGAAACTAAGGCACGAGGATTCCTTCAGGACCCAAACGCCGCTTTCCAACCAGAAAAGCTCACCCAGAAGCACTTTCTCGTCAAACAAGATGGCGGCGCCCAGCAAACCGGTGGCCCAGTAGGAAATGTTCCATGGACTGGTACCGGTCTGCAGCCCGGTGGTTGGGGACCCCTGGTCTAATGGATCATTGTTTGGAAACAGAAGCTGAAGAAAGGGACCAAAGCAGAGGCTAATGGAATGGGTCAATGTGGGCTGATATCCCTTCCTATGTTCTAGTCCCAACCCAAACTGGTTCCTTTCTTAATCTGTCCCAACAGATTGCCTATTTTTCCAAAAGGCAAATGGACTTTCTTGGTTTTTTTTTTCTCCTTGGAAACATTTCACTTCTTATCCAAGAGGCTGTTCAAATCTGAAGAATGTCAGAACTGAAGAAGCTCCTTGGAAGAGAAGTGAAATGTTTTCAATGAAAAAAACTAAGAAAGTCCAGTTGCCTTTTGAAAAAATATCTTTGGGACAACCATGACGTGGATGATTGAGAATCTCCATAGATTTCCTTCCTAATGTTCAAAGAAAAGAGGAAAATTACTGGTAACTCTGCTGTTAAAGTTAAATGGCTTGGCTCATCTTTTAGATTCCCATTGCTACTTTGTGTATCTGAGGTTCTTAGAATCAACCTTACAGGTATTCTCTTCTGGTGAACAGGTGCACATTTTAATCTCAGATATTGAGCTGGACTTGTACATGCTTAGATTTACTTCAGGCACTGGGAAAAAACACACCATATATTTTAGGCCACAGCTTGCTACCACACATAACCAGGCAGGTATGAAAGCCCCCAAAGGAATTTGGTAAATTGATTTCAGTGGTCTATCCTGGAATAACCCCTTGGTTTGGGTGGACTTCCTGTACACCCATCTCATAATCCCACCACTATTTAACATTGCAAAGTAGAAATATAAAGATTTCTATGAGTTGAACTCAGTTCTGATGATGATCTGGTGAAGTTTCTTTTGGAAACACAATATTGGATTTACTATTTTCTTCTTCTGGGTGGCTTTTTTTAAAAAATACCTAGCCTAGCCTACAGTACTGTGATATCCTGCTGGGTCATATCCTCATACTAACCAAATCCATCCTGCTTTTCTTGAACTCAATCAGGTGCTGCTATCAACAATGACAGTTCAAGGCACTGATCGACACCTTTAAGGCCCTTTATATGTCGGGACCAGGTTATCTGAGGAAATGTCTCTTCCCAGTTACATCCACCCGACCCACCAGAGTGTGGAGACTGGAATAGCACTAGTACTTAGACTTATATTCCACTTCACAGTGCTTTACAGCCCTCTCTAAGTGGCTTACAGAGTCAGCCTATTGCCCCAACAATCTAGGTCCTCATTTTACCCACTTGGAAGGATGAAAGGCTGAGTCAACCTTGATCCGGTCAGAATCAAATTTCTGAAGTGTGAGTAGTGAGTTAGCCTGCAGAACTGCACTCTAACCACTGTGCCACCAATGCTGGTCCCATCCCCTAAGGAGATACTCTGTCTGGACCCAGAAGAAGGGCCTTCTCTGAGGTGGCTTGATCCCTTTGCAATATTAACCCTTTAAAAATTAGACTGCCCCCCACTATGACACTTTTTGCAGGGCCTTGAAGACCGGGTTCTGTTAACAGGCCTGGGGAAACTAAGAGTGGGATGGAGCCCATCTAGTGGCTCATTTGATTGTGTGTTGTCATCGGGGTTGGGGTGGTACTGTTTTTTATTATATTGGGTTTTTTAAATTGTTTGTGAGCCACCCAGAGTTACTGAGAGTGAGTGAGTGGCCATATAATTCTTCTAAATAAATACAAATAAATAAACATCTTACAATACTTTTCTGCCTGTTGTATCCAACCTTTTATTTTCAGGCTAGACATATTTTCAGACAATTCTCTTCCCTCCCCACTCCAACATAACTGAGACAAAGATTAAAAAATAAATTAGCAAAATAGATTTTTTTTAACACTCATATTCAAATCCTTCTGTAATACTCACACAGAACGTTGTACAGCCAGAAAGGTAGCATTGAGTTGGCAGTCTTCCGATGGAGGGCACAAAAGTGAACTTAAGAAATCCAGATTCCAAAGGAACCTACAATGGATGCAGATACTGTATAACAACCAATATGAACGAAACATAAAATTTTGCTGCATGGCCTGCCTATATTACATCACCCAACAGATACTGCTATGTGTAGAAGAGTTTATTCAAAGAATTATGGAAGGCTCTAATGTTTGATGAATCTCCCTCAAATGTTTGCCAGTTTATATTGACTGTGGCATAGTCATAAGGGGTTATTGTGTTAGAGTAAGAAGACCCCAATTCTTCTCCACCCATAGCACAGAATCTCATTGGGTGACTTCAAAACAGCTGCACTCTCACAATCCAACTTACAAGACAGGCTTCTTGGGACAAAAATGGGAAGCAAGAACTCTATGTAGGCCACCATAAGGTTCTGAATTTGTCTGTCTGTCTGTTTGTCTGTGTCCATGTGAGTTGTCCATCTCCGTCTCTATCTATATCTATCTATCTATCTATCTATCTATCTATCTATCTATCTATCTATCTATCTCTATCATCTATCTCTCTATTCTATATCTACCTATCTATCATCTATCTTATCTATCACCTATCTTATCTATCATCTATATCATTTATATCTATCTATCTATCATCAATATCTATCTATCATCTATCTATCTATCTATCTATCTATCTATCTATCTATCTATCTATCTATTTTATCTATCTATATCTATCATCTTCCTATCTCATCTATTTATATTTCACATTTTTAAACCTCCCATCTCCTTCAAAGGTAGAAGTAAGATGGAATGTAAAACAAAGAACAATTATGTTTTCAGAGTGCTCTACAGCATTTTTTTTAAAAAAAACACCTATAATTGATAAGAGCAGAGAAGCATCTTTGAATACACCCTGCCCATTAAATCTGCTGTTAACTTTTCTCTTTGGTAGTGCATTAGACAAAATGGAATGCATCACTTGGCAAGGCCAGTCTAGACTGCGATGTGCATATGTGCTTTCCTTATAAACAGTCAAAAACTCCAAGAATTCATACAGCAGCTCACTTTCTATGGAAAAAAAGGAGTTCCAGATAATGTTTATGTGCTATTTCAAAGCTAAATACATCTGAACTGTATTTTCTGAGCATAATTATGGGAAGTCACAAGACTCTGGAAGATTCCTGTTCCCCATCAGGTTCTTAGAGGCAACTGTATCATCTCAGGATTTTCCACAGTGAAAATCTTCTGACTCATTTTCAGATCCAGTTGCAGAATAAATTTACTCTTCTGCAATTACACAGACTGATTTGTCCCCTTTGAACACTATAAATGGAACGAAAGCACCAGATCTTCCCAATAGCTTTAGTCCAAGGCTGTATTTAGTTTTTTTCTTTATTTATTTTTTAAAATTATATGTCACCCATCTCACTATTGAAATGACTCTGGACACTACTGACCAACTGACCAATCCATTTTCATCAAAAGGGTGGCACAAAAATAAAACTGGATATTATTTTCAAAAAGGAACTAGGGGGAATTTTAGTGGCTATAAACACCAAAAGGATATAGTTCAACAAAATTTAGGCTTTTGCAATTTGCAGTGTAAAAGTCACAAGTCATTTTTTAATTTAAAAAATACATGTGTCAATGTATCATACAATTGTAACTATTTTGTAAAAAGAAGAATTTAGTTAAATTTGTATATTTATCTCCTAAAAAATGGAATTCTAGAGCTCAGGTTACCTAACCAGAATCCATTCAAGATCACAACCAAATTTAGCAAAAGAAAAATCAGTTCCCAGGTACTGATAATTACATTTTTACTCAAATCGTTCAAGGCAATTTTCAGAACAAGAAATGCTGATTATGGTACCACAGACTAAAACAGAACAACACATGATGCTAAATATTGAGATATTTAAACTGAGTTACCATATAAATATTTTCCTGTTTGGTTGGTCCCTTGTCATTCCAAAAAATAGTTTTAAAACTTTTTCTCTTGTACTAGAACCTCCTGAGGAAGTAACCAACTTACTTCTGGAAGGATGATAAGAGGGGGAAAAATACAGATTAAATTCCTGAAACTGTGTGAAAGCTGCTTAAAAGTTATTCCTGTGAAGAACCATGATGCATTTCTTTACATATTGAAATAAGTGTTCCCATCATAGGGATAACTTTGTGACTCACTTCTGCCAGCATCTCCCAGCCAAGTCTGACTTAAGGACAGAAAGTTTGCGAATCCACATTTTATAATATGAGACAATAAATATCATCTGTAATAAGTTGTTGGTTTGCTTGTTTAACATCTCATGCAAGCCAGAGACCTTAGCATGTAAACCATAGTTTTTAGCTCAGGGTTATGTGTAACTCTGGCCAATGTGCCTCAGTAACCATGACATCTCTAAGGCTGGGATGTTTGAACTCAGCCCTAGAAATATTACGGTTACTAAGGCACAATAGCCAGGGTTACATGTTATCCCAGTCCTAAAAATATTTTTGCCACTGCCCTGGGAATTCCAGTGGAATCCAAACAGATCCCGATGTTTACCTGAGAGAAACCTACCTACCCTAAGTTGAGTTCTCTCAGTAGATCTGGAGCACAATTCTTCAAATTCCCAATCAGAATGGAATCCCATGAGTTGTAATCTAAAGGAAGTCCATGTTACAAAAGAGGTTGTCAAGAAGAGCACATTCACTAAAGCACAGCCCCTCGTTGCCTGCTGCACCCACCAAGCCAGAGAGAAGTCCTGGTGTCAACTGAGGCCGTAGGACAGCACAGCACTATACAAGGCAGAAGTGAGTCACTAGAAAAGCACTCACTGGGGGCAGAGGCCACTGTTTTCCCTTCAGAAGTGCTCCTCGGGGCTTTCAATACAGAGGACCCATTCTTCAAAGGATACCATGGGACAGTCCCAGAAGCACGTGGATTGTGCATTCCTGAAGAAGATGCATGCAAGAGCATTTTACTCACTGGGAGAGGAAGGGCACTGAAGGCTTGCATGTAAGAATGAATTGTCAATATGGTTGTTTGAGCAGCATGTGTGAATTTCTTACCCAGGTCAAAATTCCCATCAATAATTTGACAAATAGCAAGCATGCCCATACCCTACTCATATAGCACATTAACCAATTTTAAGAGTTGAAATTCCTGAATATTTCACTAAAAGGCATTGAAGGCAAGAGAAAGACTCTTAAAGACCAGGTGATGGGGGAGATTGTCATGAAGAAAATCTATGTGATCACCAAGAACTGACAATGATTTGATGGCACAAAATCAATCAATTGAATCTGGCAACTACACGGACATAACCCAACCCTACAGTTTTCTTAGTTACAGAATTTTTTTCTTCATTACCTTCTTCTGATATGTTTTCTAACAATTAGCTTATCATTCCTGGTAGCCTTCCTTCCAAAGGTCAAGAAGACCTGGACCCACTCGAGACATGCCCAGTGAGGTATTACTACTCACTGAATTCACTCAGGATATCTAATAACTACAAAATATTTATACTTGTTCAACTCTATGTGCAAAGAAGCACCAGGTTTACCTTGTTCAACCAGTCTGCCAGTTATTTTTAATAAAACAGTTGTCTCTAAGAAGTTATAGAAGTTTTACAGGACAACACTTATACAGCAGAAGCCAGTAGAACACAACTTGAAGACTTCCATGGTAGGAACAATTTATCTCTAAAGAGAAATTGAGGTTATTGTTTCCCTGAAGGCAAATGTTAACATGTGGCAGTGACTGCCTTCAAAATGAAACTCTCCTCAAAGAGCTGCACCAATTGACATTTTCAATCCTGCAGTTGGGCTTTAAAGTCTGCATACATCATACTTGCTAACTAATCTGTGATATTTACAGTTGTACAACTGGCCTAGGGTTTCACAGACCTATGAATAGATCAGGCTCACATGCTGCAATAATTTATACTTCACGGGCTCATTCAGGTGGCTTCTATTTTGGTAAACCCAAAAACTAAATTAGTCATCCTGAGTTTCAGAGTCCATAATTAAAAAGTATTCCAACTTCTCTGAATATCTTGCAAGTAAGAGGACCAGAGGCAATTATATATTCAACACTTCTAACTTGCCATAGGTATAACCATGGCTCTCAGAGTAATTACTGCAGTTTGAAATTCATGACACACAGCAAACACCTATAATCAATATCTAGTCTTACAGCATCATCGACATATGTATGTATGTATGCCACAATATCTTTCTTTTTTTAAATAAATGGTACCTGTCTTCTCTCAAGCAATTCCTTCTGGTCTCTGCTCTTTTCCCCACTTCACATGTAGAGATCAAAAACTCCCAGATGTCTACTGTGTAAAGCCAATGTGGACACCAGGTTTTAGAGAAACAATGCTTGTTCCAGTAACAAGTGAAATTCCTTTATTTAAATATTTGGAGAGTAGGAAGCTTATGTGGGCACAAGAAGCTAGGGCATAAATGTTCTCTTTGTCCAACTTCCTTGCTGCTAAAATGTGTCATTGTTAAAACAATGAGGCTGCTTTCTTCAATCAAGAGATATCAGTGGACTTTGCTCATTAAACCAGTATCGTATTAAGCCATATGTCATCTTAATATAAAATATATTGCATTTGAGGACAATGAGTATACTTATTCCTGGAAAAAGTTTTTTTATGGGTTGGTAAATACTAAGCCAAAAAGTCCAAATTACTAAACTGAAAATGACTAAGACTTGCCCATTTAAAAAAAAAACCATCTTCCCAACCTTGATGATTATTCTTGTTGAGGACAAAGGACTCTGTAACATACATAAGACTCTATAACTATTTCTCTAATGTGTGGGAATTACCTCTTAGGGTTGATGGAGATGTATAGATAGATGCAACGTATATGTCAAGTACCAGGAAAATCAGAAGATCCAGTCTATTCAAATGGTATAAAGGTTTATTGCAAGCTTAAGCTCTCTACAACAGTGATCCCCAACCTTTTGGGCATCAGGGACCAGTTCTGTGGAGAGAGGTTTTTCAGTGGACCAGTGAGGGCGTGGTTTCATGTGTTGTCTGCATCCCACAGATGGGGATTCGCTTGTTTGCA